AAGTGTGGGCATCAAACATGGTCTGCAGGAGCAGGGAAAGTTGCTCCCAGGAAGGGGCGTTTGCACTGAGCCTTGTGGGATGAGTGGTAGGGGGCGTTGGTATTGGAGGTGGTGAGGAGAAGGAGGAGAGGTAGAGAAAGAGTCCTAGGGTTAACGCATAGGATAAAATAAATGAAATGTGTCAGAACCTCAGGGCACTGGAAGAACACCACCAATTTTTTTTTTTTTTTAATCTTCTCAAGTAGTTCTGTATCTGCTTACAGAGTTTCTACAAAGGGACTCTGAAGTTCTTCGGGGTAGCAGCTTAATTTCAGACCAACAAGAAAGGGATGTGGAGATGTAGCTGGGGGAGCTGGGAGCCCAAGCACATCTGCAAAGAGCTGCTCCGAGCAGAGGATCTGGGGCTTCTCTGATAAGCGGGGAGTTATGGAGGTGTTTTCAGATCTAGAAGCTTCCATTTGAAATCTCACACACCACCTCTTAGCAAGTCCATTCTCCTTCAGGGTTTTACAAAACATCCTGAGGTCCTGTACCCACCGTTGTGAGGGAACCACAGCCCATCCTTCTCACTGAAAAGCCCAGTGCTTTCTCCAAGAGGCACGGTGAGCAACCCACACAACCTCTGCTCTCCATTCCCTAGACCCAGACTCTGAAACGGAGAATCCCAGTGTCTGGGTCCCAATCTGAGTTCAGTTCAACAAATATTTATTCATATGTTTATGAAGCTCTCCTAGGCACTAGCTTCTATCATGGGTGCAGTGAACGACAAGAGGAATAAAGCAAAGCTCTTGTCCTGGAGGGAGGTGTGACTTAAGTGCCCAGTTTCCTATCTTTAGGATGATGGAGGCAGAGCTGCCTTCCCTTCCTCCAGCCACGTGCCTCTGCTGTGCTCTGGTTTATTGCTTCTGGTTGGCCCTCCCAGTGGCTAGCTTTCCATCCTCTCTCGGGGTCCTGGTCACCTCTCTCACGGTAGACTTCCTCGTCCTCAATTTCTGTCTTACTGCCCTCAACCCCACAGTCCCTTTGTGGCTACTCAGGGCCTGAGGCTTCAGACAGCACAGGCCCTTTGTCACGTTGGAGAGTCTTTGCTGTTTCTTTGCTACTTGCTTGGTCTCTTTTCTTGAAAAACAAAACAAAGTAAGACACAAAAAAAATAGGTGCATAGTTTGTGTTTACCTGCTGAAATGGAGCCTGTAGTCTCATTTCTTAGGCACTTAGGAGGTAAAATTTATGGGCAATAAATACTTTATTAATGGAAATTTACAAGCGAGCTATATATTTAGCTTTGAGTTGGCGGGGGTTTCAGAGTTCTACACAAAGAGGGATCCTCGGTTTGGTCCTTGAGTATAAAATAGCTAGAGATGGAAAGGAGAGAAGGTTTTCCAGGCACAGGACACAGCGTGGGCAAAGATGTAGAGCAGGAAAGGATTGGGTGGGTTCGTGGACCCACGTACTTCTGTGTGACTGGAGCTTAGGGAGGAAGCGGGAGAAAGGCCCGGACAGTCTGATGGGTCAAATTGCTCAGGAGTCTGGTCCCACAGGAAAAATTTCTCAGTAGAAAAATAAAGTGATAAGGTCAGCATTTTGGAAAGATTGCTCTTTATGTGATAACAGCCCAGGTCACATGTGATAAAGGAATGACCTGGGAGAGTGGACACCGGGAAGGAGGCTAGGCAGATTGAGGGGACATGGTTGAGTTAGACTTGACAAGACCTAGTGACTGCTTAGATGTAGGGCGTCTGGAGTCAAGAATACAAGTTTCCTGCCTTGGGAAGCTGTGGGTAGGGCAGGCACTGAGAACAGTGGCTCGGCGCCCAGCCCCTGGACCTGGGAGGCCAGCAGTGGAGTCCTGGTTTCCATAGTAACTTGGACTAGTTGCTGAGCCTTTCCGTGACTCAGTTTCTTAATGTGTAAAGTGAAGGAGGATTGCATCTTCAGGGATTAGATGATTTTTAATGTTTCTTGTGGGCTTTAGATGAGTTAGTACATATAAAACCTTCGGGTGGGGAATGGCGAATAATAGGCTCCAATAAATGTTAGCTGTTACGAGTATGGTGGGTCATCAAAACTTAAAGGCACACAGCTGTTCTTAAACTTTTAAATAGTGTTGCACAACTCATAAATTCTTACCTCTTCTTCTGTTTCTGTTATTCTTCTGATATTAATAGTGGAAATTTGCACTGTTTTTCTCTCATCTTACAACAACTCATCAGCAGTGTTTATGACCTGGATCCCTTGTTGGCTGTGAAACCAGCTCTGCGCAAAATGCAGACAGTGAGCTCTACTCAAGATTCTTTTTTTTTTTTTTT